TCTGTGTGATTTCCCATGCAGCGTGCCGGCTCAAACTACGTTGCTGCCCGGGAATCTCCTGGGCTGGCTTTCTGTTTAAGTCTCATTTAATCAGATGAATGTGCTAATCTGCCTTCCAAAATCTCCAATTGCTGGTTTAACAGGGCAACCAAACCAGCGTATTTTGTACGGAGTGTCGCTGCACTGCGGCCCCGGCCCAAACAGCCACACCGGCCCAAACTGCAGCGTGGCCCGTGGGGCTCTTACACCTGGGAATCTCCTAGTCCGTGGACAATAAAGATCTGTATGGAAATGCGGCGTCCACTCACCCTCTGCGGATTGACTGGGAGCTGCAATCCTGAGTTGGTCCTACAGTGCCATCTTCCTCGAGAATCAGGAAGTATTTCTTTTTTTTTTCCCAACATGTAAACAATAGTGCTTTATTGATAAAAGGTTAGTATAAATGGGTACAAAACTGCTGTGTAAAATAAGTGTTTTCAAAATACATTTCTGCAGGTAGAGACTCTCTCTTAGTAAAAGAGCAGTTACCTATTATCAAAAGTATATACTTAGGTTTGGGTAGTACAAGAAAAGGGGATCAGAGGTGCGGCAGTACGGGTGCTCTCTTGCGCTGGCCATTACCAGAGTGCCTGAAGTAGGACTTTTGTGCAAACATACACGGAGCTTACGTTTATCACTTGCAAATGCTTTTTTCTTTCATTTTTTTTTTTTTTACAGATTTTTCTAGCAAAGTTATTAAATGTCAAAAACTCAAATAATGAACTCTGCATGGATGTACTCTATAAAGTCATGGAACACTTTTTCTTAGTTACCTTCACACAATAAGCCATAGCATACAGCTTTTGGCTATTCGCAAGCAACAGTGAAGGGGCAGTTAGCAAGAGCACCAGATTATTTTCTGTAGCACACCTTCATAACTAATATGTAACTGCCTCTTTATGTTTTCTCTAGCCCCCCCCCACACACACACACAAAACCCTGTCTCATCCTCAGATTAAGCATTTTCTCCATCTTCCTACACAACCATTGCCTCCTTTCATCTGTCACTTTCTGCGGTTGAATTTCCCAACTTCAGTGTAATTGATTAAAAAAAAAAAAGGCAACCCCTGGAGCATGCAGCAGGGAGACAGGAGGGAGGAAAGGTGAGGCTGAGGCCACAGTGCACAGAAAACAGACCAGGTGTGGCTTCACCTGTGCACACTGGAGGGTGCCGCAGGGACACAGGAGGAAAGGTGAGGCTGAGGCCACAGTGCACAGAAAACAGACCAGGTGTGGCTTCGCCTGTGCACACCTGCCTACTAGCTACACTACAGACTTGAAATGACTTCCACTTTGACAGGACACATGGTTATTGCACAAAATGAATAAAATGACAATGGCCAAAAACAAATGAGACAGTCTGCACACACAAAAATGATTACTGCTATTTTCCTCCCATCAGAAAATCATGCAAAAAAGGAATATTTAAAGGAAACCCAAATCAGGAAAACCTGGTAGGCATCAGAGATCAGGGGTTCAGGGCACCAAGGCCTTAGGATGGGGACATTGTTAAATGGCAAGCTAGGCTCCAGGGGCATGCCCACCAACAGACCCCAATTTCCACAGGGGAGGCAGATCTTCTATATCTACAGTTATAGAAAATACACTAAAGTGCAGTATAAAATATAGAAAGGTTGGATTCTGAATAGGTAAACTGCTAATTTTCCTTAAAAAATTTTTTTTTAATTTTGGTTGAGTAAAGAGTTTACTGAATCTCATTTTGTAGGTAAGTATCTTCGTTGTGACTACTTTGATTTTCTCTGTAGCACAGAATAACCAGTATTAGTGGAGATCATGTGGCTTACAGTGAGTTCTCTGCACAGTAGTTTTAAAAGCCTAGCATCTGAATTAAGAGACTTCTTTAAAACTCACCTCTAAAAAAGCTATTTAAGTATAAAGATGTATCTCATTAGGTAATTCTACTGTTTTATTTGGTTAGCAGATAATAAACTCACAGACGAATGCAGTATTGAATTATAGCAGCGAAACTGGTTTTAGATGTTGTGTACAGACAAAAAGCAAGAAAGCAAAGAGTCTTGACATGGTGTGACGTGGTTAGCAACGACCCTGCACCAGGCCAGTGGACCTTTCTCCATCACCATGCACATGCCTCTACCACCCAGGAACATAATGGGTCAATCTGAATGTTCTAGATACAAATCAGGAGTGCTCATCATGGTTAGTCAGTTGTTAAGTCAGTTAAATCAAAGAAATTCAGTATTAACTATACATGTTGATTCTTGGAAATCAATTCTAACGTTAGTGGTTAGGGAGAAAGAAAAGGAAAAAGTTCACCTCACAAAATACAGAGTGTAACAGCAATGAAATACATATGTTAAAAGTACTTCAGGTAGGATCCAAGATGGCCGATCACTAACAGCTCAGGATTGTAGCTCCCAGTGGAAGCTCAGAGAACAAGACGACACCACACTTTTAGACAAATTTTCGTCACTCATGGATCAGCCGATTCCCAGTGGAGGAGCCCCATGGGTCGCCAGCGCGACTCTCGTGGCCGCCGCAGCGGTTTTGCCAGCGCCTTGGCGCAGCAGCTCTTCATGCAGAGCAAACGGGACTACTACCCCTACTGACCGGAGTTTGGAGCTCCGGGAAGTCAGAGCCGCTTGTTGCGGACTCAAGAGGGAAGCCAGACCAGAGATTCCCGGGCAGAAGAGCACCATCAGTCTTATCGCTGCTATTTAGGCCGCCACAGTGGGTTGCTCGGATCCCAGCACTGGGAATCAATAAATCGGACGTCGACTCAGAAACCTAATTAGAAAGGCGGTTCATCTACAATGAAGGGAAAAAAACAGCCTAAGAAGGCCGAGTATACTCAAAATCAGAACCCATCATCAACGGAACAAGCCCTGATGGAAAAGGACTCATCAGCAACAGAACAAGTCCTGATGGAAAAAGACTGTGTTCCATTATCTGAAGTAGGCTTTAAAAGGTGGATAATGAGAAACTTCTGGGAGTTAAAGGAACTTGTTTCTAACCCAATGTAAAGAAACTAAGAACTTTGAAAAAAGGTTTGATGAAATGATGAAAAGAATAGACAATATAGAGAGGAATACAAATGAACTTATGGAGTTGAAAAATACAACACGAGAACTTAGTGAAATATGTACAAGCTTAAATAACCGAATGGATCAAGCAGAAGAAAGGATATCAGAGGTCGAAGACCAACTTAATGAAATAAAACGACAAGACAAGAATAGAGAAAAAAGGATAAAAAGGAATGAGCAAAGTCTCCAAGAAATATGGGACTATGTGAAAAGACCTAATATACATTTGATCGGTGTACCTGAATGTGATGGAGAGAATGAATTCAAGCTGGAAAATATTCTTCAGGATATTATCCAGGAAAATTTTCCTAATTTAGCAAAGCAGGACACTATTCAACCCCAGGCAATACAGAGAACACCACAAAGATATTCCTCAAGAAGACCAACCCCAAGGCACATAATCATTAGATTCACCAGGATCGAAATGAAGGAGAAAATATCAAGGGCAGCCAGAGGGAAAGATCAGGTTACCCATAAAGGGAAGCCTATTAGGCTTACAGCAGATCTCTCCGCGGAAACCCTACAAGCTAGAAGAGAGTGGGGGCCAATATTCAATATACTTAAAGAACAGAACTTTCAGCCCAGAATTTCATATCCTGCAAATGTAAGCTTTACAATTGAAGGAAAAATAAAATCTTTTAGGAACAAGCAAGTACTCAGAGATTTTATTACCACCAGGCCTGCTTTACAAGAACTTCTAAAAGAAGCATTATACATAGAAAGGAACAACCAGTATGAGCCTTTCGAAAACTACACCAAAAAGTAAAAAGCATTAACATAAAGAAGAATTTACATCAACGAAAGGATAAAATAGCCAGTTAATATCAAATGGCAGTAATCCTAAATTTAAATCGACTAAATCCCCCAATCAAAAGATACAGACAAAATCTAATGGTATATCTAAAGATATACAAAGACTCAAAATAAAGGATTGGAAAAAAACTTACCAATTAAACGGAGAGCAAAAATAAATAAAAAGCAGGAGTTGCAATTCTCACAATTAATAAAATAGATTTCAAAGCTACAAGGATACAAGGGTAAAAGGATTAATGTAATAATAAGAGATCTTAACACCCAGATACATAAGACCCATAATGAGATTTAGATTCAACGAGACAGAAAATTGATAATGATATCCAGGACTTGAACTCAGATCCAGAACAAATAAACTCAATAGAGCTCTCCATTTTAAACACACAAAATATACATTATCTACTTTAAACACACAAAATATTGATCGGCCATTATTGATACCCATTTTAGGAACGAAGTAGTATTTCTTTTTCCCTCTTTTTTTTCTCTTTTTCCCTCTTTTTCTTTCTAAAAAAAAAAAAAAAAGATACCCGCTGTATGGGAGGCTTGGGGCAAGAGCCACTCCTCCTGATAAAGGAGTGGTAGGACCTTGCTCCAGTTCTTGTGGAAGGCTGCCCTCAGAACGGCCATCCACCTTGGTGACTGTGAACTTTATCAGCTCTTGCTACTGTGCTGCTTGAAAAGCATCTTCCCATAGAACCCATTGAAAGCTGCCAGAAGGTGGCAGTAACCCTGACAGCTCTGTCACTGCTATGTGACTTAAAGCATCCTTCTATAAACCTTCTTAGAAGTAGTTTGCCCATAGATAGAAGTATTGCACACTGCGCCCTCTTCACTGCGCATGGCCCACCTTCAAGCCTCCGTGACCTAATTGGGGTGGACCCCTTACTGCACACAGCTCTTGCCTTCATGGGAACGGGCCCCTTGCTGTGCACTGTCCATCTCCTGGCCTAGGTGACCTAATGGGGGTGGACCCCTTGTTTTATTGCTCACAACCCTATCACTATCCTTAAAGATGATTTCACTCACTGCCCAGCCCCCTAAAAAAAAAAAAAAGTACTTCATACAAAAAAAATCAAAATTAAAAAAAATTAAATTCTCAGGCACAGGTACATTAAAATGTGGATGGCACCCTCCCAAGGATTATGAAAACACACGACTGGATCACGCATCTGGAATGTTTTCTTTTTTTTCCAGGAAAGTGTTTTCTTACACATGGTGCCCGAGAGCGCTATCACCGTCCCCGCCCTGCATCTGCGCCTGCATCCTGGTGATCATCTCTTGCATGCGGCGGAGCTCAGCTTCCTTTTCCAGCAAGATCTGGTCTTTATTCATGTCCTCGTTCTCCACTTTCCTGCCACCTCTCTTGAGTCTCTCAGAACGGAAGTTTTCATAATGAAGGTCCTGGGTCACCTCCTGGAGATCCTGCATGTGGGTGATGAGCATGGTTCTCAGCTTCAGAAAGTCGCTGTGCTCTGGATTCTCCACCTCCACAACACCCCAGGGGTAGAGGCGGCCTCTGACCTTCTTTCCTTTGGCTTCAATCAACTGATTGGATCCAACCACAGAGAATGGGATGCTAGCCTTGAGAAGTCTAGTCTGCTCTTTAAAATCTTCATCTTCGACTGATTCTGCATCAGGTAAGTGATAGATTTTGATGTTATGTTCTTCAATTTCATCCAGAATCCTTTTCTTCAGCCGCTCCCGTTCCTTCAGGGTGAGGGTGTCAGCTTTCGCAATGACAGGCACAATATTCACCTTGTTGTGTATTGCCTTCATAAACGCCACATCTAATGGCTTAAGTCCGTGTCCAAAAGGGGAAATGAAGTAAAAGCAGCAGTGCACTCGATTATCAACTATGTGCCGCCTGTCCAAGCCGCTCTCGTCATGCAGGTACTGCTCAAACTGCTCGTCAATATAGGAGATGATCGTCTTAAAACAATCCCTGCAGTTGATGGCGTCACCATAGCCGGGGGTATCGACCACTGTCAGGCGTAGCTTGACCCCTCGCTCTTCGATTTCAACAGTTGAAGCCTCAATTTGGACGGTTCTTTCAATTTTCTCTGCAGCGCCAGGTATAACTCTTTCTGGGTAGAGATCAGTTAGGAATAGGCTGTTTATGAGAGTCGATTTTCCTAGACCTGATTCACCAACCACCATCAGTGTGAACTCAAAACCTTTTTTCACTGATTTTCGGTGAACTTGATTGGGGAGATTTACAAATCCAACATAGCCAGGAGTTTCTGGATTTATAAACTGAGCTGGTTGTTGCTTAGACATCTTTTGTGAAGTTTCGTCCGCCAACCAGCGAGAAAACAGACGCCGACAGACCGCAGGAAGTATTTCTTAAATGAATGGATAAAAACACCTAGTACTCTGTTGAGTGAATTAATGAAGTATTGATAGGGGATTTTCTTGTTATTTTCTGCTGGCCTGCCATAGCGCCCAATAGTCTACCATAAAGGACTTGGTGGAATGACATATTAAGCTATTATCTTTCAGATTCTCATTTCAATAGAATAGTTTATTAGCATCTATCACTCAGCAGGATCTGAGAATATGGTAACTTTAATGCTGGGAGAAGAAAGAACAGGCTCTAAGGCAACATGAAGACACTGGTTACCTAAAAGCTCATGCTGTGGTTTGAATGGTGATGCCCCCTCCAAAATTCATGCTGAAATTTAATACCCATTATGGTAGTATTAAGAATTAAGAGGTGGAGCCTTAAAGATGTGATTGAGTCATGACAGCAGGGCCCTCATGAATGGGATTGGGTGCCCTCATAAAAGGGCTTGCTGGGGCAGGGCGCAGTGGCTCATGCCTGTAATCCCAGCACTTTGGGAGGCCGAGGTGAGCAGATCACCTGAGGTCAGTAGTTCGAGACAAGCCTGGCCAACATAATGAAACCCCATCTCTACTAAAAACACAAAAATTAGCTGGATGTGGTGGCAGGCACCTGTAATCCCAGCTACTCAGGAGGCTAAGGCACGAGAATCGCTTGATCCTGGGAGGCAGAGGTTGCAGTGAACTGAGATTGTGCCATTGCACTCCAGCCTGGGCAACAGAGAAAGACTCCATCTCAAAAAAAAGGGGAGTGCTTTCTGGAGGGGGTTTGCCCTTTTTGCCCCTTCTGTTTTTTCTACCGTGTGGGGATGCAGCATTCCTCCCCTATGGAGAATGCAGCAACAAGGTGCTGTCTTGGAAGCAGAGAATAGCCCTCACCAGACACCAATCCTGCTGGAACTTTTATCTTGAGCTTTCCATCCTCCAGAACAGTAAGGAAAGAAATTTGTGTCCTTTATAAATTTCCTTGTCTTGGGTATTTTGTTATAGCAGCACAAAGATGAGTGGTGCCCTTTGGAAAAGGGAACAAATAAAGGAAGGGAAAGAGGTGACCCTGATCCTTGTAGTCAATGGATATTTATGCAGATCTAATCTACTGAGGATGAGCAGTCTTGTGGAACAGAAGTATTTCTAGAATCATATTTTCAATAAATGTAAAGAAATATGCTCATGTGATGGGTAAAATACATACATATGCATATGTATACACACACACCCCATGTTGAAAAATAGCTACTTATTTTTAGCTACTTTTTCTTTAAAACAGTTTATTGAGTCATACAGAGACAATCCAAGTATTTAATGTAGACAATTAATAGCCGATTCAAAGGAATCCTGTATATCCACTGTGCACAGCAGAAGCACACCATTAAGGAGGGGCTACAGGCCTCCCTTTCTATAGACACAATTTTTATTCAGACAGCTCCTGCAAAAGCTGGGAGTTGGAAAAACAGCTCCCTGGCTGGGCATTGTGACTCATGCCTATAATCCCAGTGTTTTGGGAGATTAAGATGGAAGGATCACTTGAGGCCAGGAGTTCCAGAACAGCCGGGGCAACATAACAAGATCCCATCTCTCAAAAAATTTTTTTTTGATTAGCCAGGCTTGGTGGCATGTGCCTGAGTCCTAACTACTTGGAAGGCTGAGTTGGGAGGATTGCTTAAGCCCAGTAGTTCAAGTTTACGGTAAGCTATAATTGTACCACTGCATTCCAACCTGGGTGACACTGGGAGACCCTAACACTGCCCCTCGCCCCTAAAAAGAAAAAAAAAACCAGTTCCCATAGGTACACAATAGTGAACTCTGTGTACTATTACCAACTTATCCTTGAATAAAAATAGGGAAATGCGTTCTTTGACTTAAGCAGACTGCAGAGGTTTTAGGAAAGTATTTAAATAAGACTTTGGGCCAGGAAGGACTTTAACTCTGTGATGGCTGGAACAAACAAGTTTCTTCACAGACCTCTCCAGAATTTGCTTGACTATGATTTCTCCATTCTCTCAATGCCCTTCCAAAATACCATCACTACCACCACCTTTCAGCTAAAACATCAAGATAACAACAACTTCCTTGTCCAAGTATCATCCCATCTGTTCAGAATGAACATTCAGTTCTCTTTATTCAACGAACAGGCATTGGATACGCTTAGTGTGCCGAACCTGTGTGGGACACTATATCCTTCCCCATCCTCCAGAAGCTCACTACTAGTGGTGGCAAAGACGCACATAACTAGCTGGGTCACCTAACACTTTGTATCTTAAAGGATCTCCCAGTAGTGTCCCATAAAACACTGGGTGCAGCTGCCAAGGCCAGAGGAGGTTGAAACGTGGATAGCTGAAAGAGGTCCTCTTCTTTACTTCTCTTACTGCCAGTGCTGGAGTGGGTTACTTTGGCAGTGTCCAGTGAGATGTGCTGTGGGCTGTTTCCAGCACCAGTCCATAGGCTTGCTATCAGTGTGAATTTCTGTCCATGTTTCAGAGGCTCTTCAGGATGTGAAGGAAGACAATACCTATCCCAGTGCTACACTCAGCCAAGAATTACCATGCTCCTTCCTCCTTACTGCATTGTAAATTATTATTATTATTATTATTATTATTATTCTGAGACAGAGTCTCACCCTGTCACCCAGGCTGGAGTGCAATGGTGCAATCTCAGCTCACTGCAACCTCCGCCTTCCAATTTCAAGCAATTCTCCTGCCTCAGCCTGCCAAGTAGCTAGGATTACAGGTGCATGCCACCATGCCCAGCTAACTTTTTGTATCTTCAATAGAGATGGGGTTTCACCATGCTGGCCAGGCTAATCTCGAACTCCTTACCTCAAGATCTGCTCACCTCAGCCTCCCAAAGCACTGGGATTACAGGCGTGAGCCACTACACTCAGCCACTGCATTGAAAATTGACCCTCATAGCCAGTTTTTCAGACCCAAGCCTGCTCACAAGATAAAATAGATGCAAATTCCAGTATCACTGCCTCACAGATCCCAAGCCACTGTTCCCCTTCTATACCTGTCCTGAGTCCTGAGTTAGTTCTTTGGCTCTGTCTCTTTCCATTTTCTTGGTAACTGTATTCATTCAAGGATTTATACTAGGTGGCAGTACAATGTAGAGGTTAAGGAAACTCTGGGAGTTCAATCCCAGCTCTGTGTTTACTAACTGTATGCCCTTAGGCTGATTAACTGTCCTCTTTGTTTCCTCATCATAAATTGGTGATAATAATATTACTTATAAGGATAATAATAAAACTTGTCCTCATAAGGTTGTTGCGAGAATTAAATTGATGAATATATAAAGGGATTAGAATAGTGCCTGGAACCTAGTAAGAGCAATGTAAGTGTTAGCTAGAATTTATCTAAGTTCTAATATTAACTCGTTTAATTCTTACAGTCACCCTAAGGTACATTTATCAATGAGAGATTTTGTAACAGAGGTTACAAAACAGAGGCTAAGTAACTTGCCCAAGGCTCTGACACAACAAGCAAGATTTCTGTTATCATGGAACTTTCATTAAACAGATAAAATAATTTCATGATGATAAATGCAATGAAGAAAACAAAATAAGATGAAGGTAGGCTAGGCGCAGTGGCTCATGCCTGTAATCCCAGCACTTTGGGAGGCTGAGGCAGGCGGATCCCTTTGAGGTCAGGAGTTTGAGATCAGCCTGGCCAACATGGTGAAACCCTGTCTCTACTAAAAATACAGTAATTAGCTAGGCATGGCAGTGCATGCCTGTAATCCTAACTACTTGAGAGGTTGAGGTAGGAGAATCACTTGGTAGGTGGAGGTTGCAGTGAGCCAAGATTGCATGATGGTACTCCAGCCTGGGCAACAGAGCAAGACTCCATCTCAAAAAAAAAGATGAAGGTATGTGATAGGGTCACCTCTCTAAGGAAGTGACATTCCAGGGACCTGTTACCCTTCCCTGCTACTGGCCTGTGTTCAGAGCCACCGTGGTTTACCTCAGCACACTTTGATAACTCTGTATCTTGGTGAAACATTGGAGTCTCATTTCCTTTGTTTAAGGAGGTCCCCAGACCCCTTAATGGCCATTTGCCCACTGCTTATTTGCTTTACTTCACAAGAAAATGTATTCTGCATCACTGGACAATCTACTCCACAGGTAACCAGAAAATTACAATACAGCACAGAAAGTTCTACGGCAAAGGAAAGCAAAAGGGGCTGTGTTTTCCCAGAGGAGGTGCCTAACTGAGTTTGGTAGACAGAGGAGTACAAAGAATAGCATATGCAGAGGATCTCTTTTCCATAAGTGTCCCCAGAAAAACAAAAAAATTAAAAATAAATAAATAAATAAAGTGTGCCCTAGTCATCTTAAACCAATTAGAGCTTGCCTCTCATTTTTCTGGTAGCCCTACAGTTTGAAAATACTGTGTGTGTGAAGGTGGAAGAAGCAGGTACTTCCAGGATATTGTTAGGTAGTAGTACCCATGAGGAGGCCCACATACTTCTGCTGTGATCTCTTGGGTACCTTGAGTGTTTATCTTCCACCAGGACACTGTGAGGTCAGGGCAGGAGAGCCTTACTCTCAGGGCTGCACCTGGATTAATTTCCTAGGGCTGCTGTCATAAAGTACCACAAAACTGGTGGCTTAAAAAAACAGAAACAGATTCTCTTACAGTTCTGGAGCTGGAAGTCCAAAATCAAGGTGTCAATAGGGCTGTTTGGAGGTTCTGAGGGAGCACCTGCTCCATGCCCATCTCTTTGCCTGTAGTGGCTGCCAGCAATCCTTTGCATTCCTTGGCTTATGGCTGCAGTCCCCCAATCCCTGCCTCTGTCACTGGAAAGCCTTCTTCCCTATGTCCCTCTGTCTGAATCTCCCTCTCATTTCTTTTCTAAAGACATCAGTCATTGGATTTAGGGTCAACCCAAATGCAGTATGGCCTCATCTTAGCTTGATTACATCTGCCAAGATGCTATTTCCAAATAAGGTCACACTCACAGGTACCAGGGCTTAGGGCTTGAACACATCTTTTGGGAGGAAATGATTCAACCCATGACCATATC